GGAGAGCGGCAGGTTTTAAAAAATACTTGGGATCTCTGAGCATCAAGGGAGGTAATGAAAGATAAAAACGACCTCCAAATAAAGGAAAGATATACTTTGTTCTCATAATATTTTTACACTGGGGTCAATAAAGTCAAAATAACACCCCAACACAACAAAATTATATCTTTATACAAGGGATAATAAAGCTAATATAAAATCACAATTACACAACAATAATATATTACTATTAAACATGTATCTACTAGTTTACTATCCCAGATTACCAAATGTTCTTTGACAACAAGTTTAATTTTCTTATATAAGAAAAATATTATGTCAAGACACTGACGGGAGGGGGGCTTTTAAAATTAAAATATTAAATCAACTTAAAAAGTAATGTAATTTTGATCTATGATTAACTGACAGCTAATATTAAATATTACCATATATTGTAAAACATTATCTAAGGAATTTAATGCTTCATTCAGCTATTTAGAAAATAACAAGATACCGATATTGGGAAAAATGATAGTAAACAGTTGAATAAGTTCTACCTATGCATATTGTAGTAAACGATATGGAAAAAAACTATTAATCTTTATTATTGATTGAGCTCCACCTGGAGATCTTTCAGTTTATGATAGTTTCGGGAAAAGAAAGTGTAGACTTTGTAAAGATACCTACCAGTGGTCAGCCTTAACATTGAAACTGACTTTGAGAATTTAAGATTTATTCAGATTCTCCTTTTTCCTGAATGTATATTATTATTATCTTAAGGTAACCAATAAGCAAAACTGAAGTACAAAATGATTGAAGGGTGTACGTGTAAACTCGCCTTTCCATAGCAGACGCGATCAGAAGTATATTTATAATTACATTCAACTAAATGTCTTATTGTGGTTCTAGATCTTGTTTTAACTAAGAGATTATGCGGTAGACTAACTATGGAAGCGTATTAAATCAGGATCAAGAAAAATAATTAAAAATGATGCCCAGAGACCACATAATAAAATGGGAGTAGGCAGCAGGAAGCAGAAAGAGGTAAAGAAAAGTCTTATTCCAGAAAGCAAAAACTGTGATGTTAGTAGGAGGCCAGAGACACTCAGTGCACGGTATTGCCGAGGTTAAAGTTGAAACCAAATTCTTCTTTTTGTACATCATCAACGTAATATTATTTCAAATGAATATATTTGGTGCAACCATAACTGCATAATAAGTTGCATTAGTAAATGAAATGTTATTTGTAATCAATAATAGTAGATGGGTGATAGTACACTGGGGGTTAATTAAATTAATCAAACAAAATGGTAAAATGGGTTTTCATAAAAAACATTTCATTCACAACTGTGCATACAATGTGCTTTGCGTGTGGGCTGTAAGATACGGGCACACATTTGCCCTTTGAGAAACAGTGAAGCAAAAGATACGTAAGTAGAGAAAAGGATTAATAAGTTGATCAAGGTTAGAGTTAGTATATTTACAGGCTTTTCTGGAACCTGCACATTGAGAATGACGTCATACACTGGCAGTTAGATATAGTCACAAGGAACATAATGGGGGAACATGGTGAAAATAATGCTTTAACATAATATCACAAATCAACAATATGAGCTCAAAAAAAGGTTCCCAGATAAATAATAAGAGAACTGTTAGATCTGTAGTTTAACCCTGGATCCAACACGAATCCTGCCGACCCATTTCTTTGATCTCTATTTTTATTTTAGAAAATTAACGTCGGTGTTACAAGCAATCCACGTAAGTCTGTTTTGGGTACTCTTTATGCCAGAGACAACAAAAAAAACTCAACTAGTTTTTGTTGTGTTGTTTCTGTCAGGAATCATGAAAAATGAGGAAATTGTAAGCCTTGAGCGTAGCATTAAACTGCATTTCGGTGATGTTGAACGTGAATCGTTGACAGAGTTCTGGAGGGCGTAAAAATAAAAGTAGATTCTCAAAATTTGGACTTAAGTGGATTGCCTGCTACAGCGGCGGTAATTATTCTGCAGTGAAACGTGTGGACGATGGACCACACCAATACACCCAATCGATGGAGGTCAATGTGTGTGTGTGTGTGTGTGTGTGTGTGTGT